AATATAAGAAGGAGGCGTTTGTTCAGCAGTGCACTTTTGATATACATGGTAATGGTTTCCAATATGAGAGCATGCGAGTTTTAAACATGCACGAAGGATGATTTTTAATATAATATAATAGAATAATATTTATTCAATATAGATTACAAGATGCTTATTGAAAGTCGTTTAGTTTTACCACTGCAAGTGTATCATAAGCATGTGTATCTTCACTTTTCAGGGCAGATATATGAATTTGTTCAATACTAATTAAATGATAATTTTCAAACAAATTCAACTAAAATACAGTTCCCACAAAAATTTAAACGTGAAGTGTCTTTATATTGGATTATGTTTCGTCGGTTTCCAACTCATTAAGTTAAAAGCGAAGCCGTAGCGGTATCGCCCAATTTATTTCGTAAGGAATAAATCAAGCGGAATGAATTAGGTACCTTCTTGAACTAACGCAAGTAAAATATGAGATTTCTTTTCGCGAGTTCTACTCGTACTACAGAGTAAATCCGACTTGATGAGAAACCGATTACAAGATAAATTACCTTATTTCATTTTCGTGGTAAGAAGTCGTGATACATATTTAGAACTAATGTTAAAATAAAATTTGGGCTTCATTCAAAAATACGTTCGAAAACTTAAAAACATCTTAGTCGAATACCCAATTTGATGTTCGCCGACTGCAATGAAATTCTTGACTGCAATTTTAAATGCGGATCTACAACGTGCTCCTTGATGAAGGAAAGGATTGTAAGGGCCAGCATATCTGAGAGATCAAGTATCCGCGCACTGGAGCAGCGCTGCAAACTAACAGTTCTATATCCTCCCTCAAACATGGAAAGAAAAGGTGGTCGATAAATGTGTAGAGCTCAGCAGTGGGACGTATTTAGGACGTATGTAGCTTTATGTTGATTTCGACACATCTATACATATAATAAAACTGTAAATAGCAGATGTCTGTACATTTTATATTTTTGTAATAAAAGTGATTGAGGGGTACTAAAAATAAGTAATTAAATACATTTCTACCATTTTTAGAATTTTCTGTCTGTCTGTCTGTCTGTCTGTCTGTCTGTTTGTTTGTTAACGTATCACGTATAAAGTACTAATTTATATCATAAGAATTGTTAAGGAAATTATAAAGTGTATCTTCGGGTTACATTTAGTCTTTATTTCATTAAAATCAGTTCATTCCATCAAAAGTTATGATAAATATTCTGAAGTATGGGTAGGGAAGTATAGGTACGAATTTGCTCAACGGTGGCTTTGTTTGAGTCATCAAGTGCATTTTAAACTAATATCATATCATAAATCATAGTTAAATTATGTAAAATAATGATATAATTATGTATATCTAAAATGCAGTAAACAAAAGTATTAAAGAACGTATTAAATATATTATACAAAAATATATTAAACCTTATTAACTAAATCTGAAGCACAATAGTTAACCCATTTCTTCGATAGATGGTGGTGTAGTGAAAATGTAACGATGTGGTTTTTTCCTGTAGATGAGTTTTCATATTTACTGCTAATCTTTATTATATTACTCGCTGCCCTACTGCGTGTTGACAAACTCAATTTATTCTTTGCCGCCAAGTACTCTATGTGGTAAATCAAATTTTAAAAGAGCTATTAACAATTGCGTTGGTTTTGGCGAGGGTCAAACTTTATTTTTTGCTTACTGTGCAGGCACTGATTTATAAGTTCTCTTGCGTTTTATATAATGTATCAATCGCGTCAATTAATCTCTTTTATTTTTAGAATTGATGTTAGCAGCGCCATCTCTCTTTAAATATATACATCATATAATAACAATGATGATAACATGTTGTGTCTCTTTCTGTACATTGTATATATATTTTGGTGGCTAAAATCATTATGGGGAACTGAAAATAATTAAATAAGAACATTTTATAATTTTTAGAATTGTCTGTCTGTCTATTTGTCTGTTATTATATGAACGCATCACGTCTAAAGTAAACATCTTTTATTTTCAAAGAAATCGTTAAGAAAATCATAAAGCGTATCTTCGAGTTACATTTAATCTTTGTTTTATTAAAATTGGTTAATTCTATCGAAAGTAATGATTATTATTTTGAAATGTGGGTTCGAATTTGTTCAATGGCGCCATAAAATCTCAGAAATAGTAATAAAAAGATTTGTGTGTAAAAAAAACGTTCCATCACACAAAGGACGTAATAGATGGAGTTGCACAAATTACAAACTTTTCTGAATTGCTGTGTTGAGATTTTTCGCCGATGAATCGTATTGAGAGTTACTGAAGAAATTTGTATCCATCGAAGCCATACAACGGAACCCGACCAAAAGTAAATATTTTGCAACGAAATGTCGTGATATTGTATTTATAATATACGCAAAATCAGTACTGCCATTTTAGCGCTTTGGGAACTAGATATAGCGCTTTTTTGGAATGTATAGCGCGCATTTCGAAATTTTAGCACCTAGCTTAATCCAGCGCTTTTTGGTGTATTTAGCACACATTTCAATATTTTAGCGACTAGCGGGTTATTAACTCTCTTATAGCAGCACTGTTAGTTCACATTACCGATAATAATAATAATGACCTTTATTATTTTTTCCCACAAATAGTACATTGCAGTTTATCTTTTTCAAACATATTTTTTCCACAAAACAAAGAGCATGGGAGACGAGTCCAAACTAGGATACCCTGTGCTATGGATCTCCTGGCTTCCCCTTTAGGATGATCAACTTGATTTTTTTACCGACGACTATAAGCGGGGAAATCCCCTTTATTAAAGTTTCCGTTTATGGTTTTGGCAACGCATTTATTTTGCTTTATTCAGTTTCAGTCAGTTGCTTAGAGCACAGCTAAGTTAAAAGTTACTTAGAAGTTATAACACAAAGAAACTGTGTAGCAACCGCAATCAGATGCTGACATCTGAAACTAAGTTGCGAAATACATTGCACATTAAAACAATTAATGACATTTTTATTGTTCGTACAGTACTAACTACTATTGACAGCAATTGCCATAATTATAAGTCGGTGTCCTGCGAAGTATTGATACATCAAAAAAATATTGCCAGAAAAAAAACTTAATGTTGTTTTCTTTATTATGATTATATAAAAAAACACAAACTTTGTTTGTAGTTAATTTAGCGCGAAATCTAGGGCTTTTTTAAAGCGCTGTTTTCATGAAATCTAACGCTTTTTGTGTTGTCCTAGAGCTGAATGAGTTTTTTTTTTATCTGGCAGCACTGCCCAAAAACCCTCTATTAAGAAGTAACTTTCCTTTCAGTTTTAAGCGCGTTCAGTTCCCAGTTACAGTGAGCGTGTGTTATGCGATGACCGTAAATAAAGCGCAAGGTCAAACTTTACGCGTTGTAGGAGTGTACCTCAGTACTGACTGTTTTGCACATGGCCAACTCTATGTTGCTTTTTCCCGCGTTAGTAGCCCCCGTAACCTTTTTGTGTATACCCCGGCTAAGCCTACTTCTAACGTCGTTTGCACAGAAGCTCTATCATAAACGACTTAGAACTTTGATGATAATGATTTATTTTGTTACCACTTATTGATACAGTAATGAAATAAATCGTTTAATATTCTCTTACCTAAACGACAAATTCTTTATGTAAAACCTGTATACGCGAGCTACGCCGCGGGCACAGCTAGTGTCTTAATAAATATATTGATACCTCTTTCAAATAACGAAATTAATAGGGTATCTGGGCAGCATTTAGCCCATACAAACAATGAAATGAATAAATGATTGAAATATTATACACCAATAAAAAAGAGAAAAAACACAAGAAATTATAAAGGCACAATTGGCATACAATTGACATATTTATTCCATATTCATAAATTTGTTTTCTCAATCGACATTGAAACTTGAGCAAATACTTTTTATCTTACACTATACCTACCACTGCCATGTTGCTATGTTCTTTTTTTCATTAATTAATTATTAAAAAAAACATCTTAAATGAATAAAATTGTCCCATTATAACGTCGTTATTATCTAATAATATCTCTATAATCTACATATATATCTATAATCCAGCAAACAAACGTCAAATATAAAAAATAAAAGAAAATATTCTGACATAGTCACAATTCTTGTTTTGAAGGAGAAAATGGAAATTCACAATAATATCGTCAATTTTCATAAACGTAAAATCGGTAATTCGGGAACAACGCGATAGCAATCGGTTGTTAAAACCTGTTCTACAAATCTCTTGTAGCCCAGAAATAACCTCTTAAACTTCTGGCTTTCTCTCACAATGCAATCGTCCAGCTCGAATGCGGACTAAAACAGTTGGTCAATTGGCACAAACTTAAATGACAAACAAATTATACTACTAAAAGTTAACAAAATAAATATCTTAACAATCATACTATGAATGTTAAGCTCAGCAACAATGACAATAACCTCTCTTTAATGCGAGACTTTTATGCGATAGTAAGCTATATAGATAAGGGGCTGAAAGAATAAAAATAAACTACAAAATAGGGTTCCCCCGTAATCTTTGAAATAAATAAGATTAACAAAAATTTAAATCTACAAAATACATTCCATAATTTTAGTTCATTCCGTATCTATTAATCATCTTATTTGCATACTAAGTATTTTTAACCGACTTCAAAAAAGACGTGGTACTCATTTCGACTGTATGTTTTTTTCATGTGTTTGTGTTATCCTTGATAATTTATATTGAAGTTTGTTGAACAAAATTTTTAATTTTTTTCCTAGTTTCCGTTGGTGTGAACCATAAATACGAATATGTACTGAAATATATTGTAGGTAAAACACTTATTATAATTAGGATTTACATATAAAAGAGGCTTTACTTGAAATGAAATTTTAGATAATTCATGTAAATTAAATTGTATTCCATAGGCACAAAAGTATCATTTTACTCACCGACGATAGTGTCGTAGTCTTAGTGAAAATACGTATTATATTTAGGATTTACATAGAAATGAGTATTTTATGTAAATTGAAGTGTAATTTTTTACTCACCGACAATAGTATAAAGCGGGGAGGCCTCTTCACTGATATCTTCTTCATACGCATCGTTGACAAATGCGGTGGCCGAAGAAGGCGGCGTGGACTCCAGGGCCTGCAGCTTGTGCGAGCCGCGAAGGGAAGTTCGGAGGAACTCATTCTGCGCTGCGATCCTCTCTTCTGCTTCTTTGCGTTGACGTAGTTGCTCCTATAAAAGAGGAAAGTGTGGTCAATATATGGGTCATAGAATTTTAATTTGTAACCGAAGAAAGCTCATAACTATAAATGGTGTGTACAAACTCAAAAATTTATACTCTTTCTCACACACACACACATACACACACACATACATACACACGCACGCACATACGCACTCATGCACGCACACATTGAAACCTATGTTGTAAGAATATAGTTAAAAAAAAGTAACTCGGATCGTAACTAAATTTAAGATTCTTGTTCTTCGTAGCGGAACTCTAAATTTTATTTCAACCTTGCAGAGATCTTTTAGTGCGTAGTATAAAAGAGTAGAAAATAAAGTAGTTCCAACAGTGCTTAGTGTATTTTTATGGCCTCTATTAGAGTTCTGAGTGCTTAATATAAGTTTAATTAGCTACAAGTTAAAATTCTTTCTCTTCTTCTTAATCGGCCAGTGAAAGTCCACCACTGGACAAGTACACTAATGGTCACGTTAGGCGGGCGTATTGACGATCTCAGTACGTCTCGCAATTTTGTTTGTCGCTAGTCTGGGCATTTTCGCTAGGAGTAAACGAAATGGTATACTGACATGTATCAGAAACCATAGGCATAGGCATTTACCATATGCTTCAATGAGGGCATCCACGACTTTTTCTGTCATCAGTGCGGCGCCACTTAAAAATGGAGGTGATAATTGACAGATTTAATAGCGGGAAAGTTAATATATTCGAAAAATGTAAAGGTAAATGTTTCATTCTGTACTATTAATTATATTTTATATTAATTATATTAAAAATAATTAAACCAAACCACAGATAATCATAAAAGTAGAAAAATGAAAAAGAAAAAGAATTAAAAATGTACAAAAAAATAAAGAGTTCCACTGAGGCATTGTTTTGTGTATTAATATAATACTCTAGAAACTGATAAACTTTTATTGAAGACAATTAAATGACATTTTGTAACAAAAAACTTCACCTCAGTGTCAACTAGCGACATCTGGTGAGCTTACTTTAGCCCTCGTTACGACTGAGTGTCATAGATAAAATGGGCCAAGCAAGATAATCTATTCCTTGATTACAGCCTGTCAAAGTGCACTGCTGAATTTAGTTATAATCAGGATGAGGAGCGTCATCTCCTGTTTTATTCCTCTTTATCGCGACGTCACCCACGGGATGATATGGGGTGGTGGATTCACTTAAGCCGCAACTACACGACAAATCACAAGTTAAATGTATGTCATATTAAGATAATTAGAACTACTGTAGAAATTAGAACTTAGGCTGTTATTTTTTATTGCATATTAATTTTTTTTTGTATAAAATAAGGGTGACAAACGAGCAAACAGTTGATGGTAAGTGGTTGCTAAGGCCCATAAACATCTACATTTTATCCTCAATTAAGAATTAAAATGCAGATGCGTTGTCAGCCGTGAGGACTAAGATGTAATGCTTCGTATACAGTTAGAAGAGTCTTTGGTTATCTACACTACACACACTACAATACACTACACCATACGAAACACAGTAACATTAAGCTGTTATTTTACGCTGGTATTCTGTGATATTATATACATGACACTTGTAAATTGCACAGTGTGGACAGATGGGTTCAAAGACAAGAGGTCCAAAAAGTTTAAACTCCTTATCGATATAACTGTTGAATTGATATAAGGCATTATCCTCTCAATTCTAATTAAAATGCTGAAGACTTAATCAACTGTAAGTTACGACTTAATCACGTTGTACGTCATCATTATCATTACAGCCCTTCACAAGTCCACTGCTGAACATAGGCCTCCCCCAAAGAATGCCACAAAGCACGGTCCTGAGCCACCTGCATCCATCGACTTCCTGCAAATCTTACCAGGTCGTCACTCCATCTAGTGGGGGGACGCCCTACACTTCGCCTGCCGGTACGAGGCTGCCACTCGAGAACCTTTCTTCCCCATCGGTTGTCGGTTCTTCGAGCTATATGGCCGGCCCATTGCCACTTCAGCTTACTAATCCGTTGGGCTATGTCGGTCACTCTGGTTCTACTGCGGATATCCTCATTTCTGAGTTTATCACGCAGAGAAACTCCGAGCATAGCCCTCTCCATAGCTCGCTGAGCGACCTTGAGCTTCCTCATCCGGCCAGCAGTGAAGGACCACGTCTCAGTTCCGTATGTCATCACTGGCAACACGCACTGGGTGTACAGTCTCGTTTTCAAGTTTTGAGGTATACCTGACGAGAAGATGTGCCGTAATTTCCCGAATGCTGCCCAACCGAGTTGAATCCGTCGATTGACCTCTCGGTCGAAGTTGGACTTACCTAGTCGGACTATTTGTCCCAGGTAAACATACTCGTCAACAACTTCGAGCTTAGTGTTCCCAACAACTACCGGCATAGGTGTGACATGGACATTAAACATGATCTTTGTTTTGTCCATGTTCATCTTAAGACCTATCCGTTGGGAAACACTATTGAGGTCATTGAGCATAGTGCTTAGGTCCTCCAGCGATTCTGCCATAAGGACTATATCGTCGGCAAATCGAAGGTGAGTGATGTACTCGCCATTGATGTTGATACCGTATCCTTTCCAGTCCAGAAGCTTGAAAACATCTTCCAATGCAGCGGTGAAGAGTTTCGGGGATATGACGTCACCCTGTCTTACACCTCTCTGCAATTGGATAGGTTTCGTACTCTGGTTCTGTACTCGGATAGCCATCGTAGCCCTACTGTACAAGCACTTCAACACTTCGATATACCGACTGTCAACTTGGCATCGCTGAAGGGACTGCAGCACCGCCCAAATTTCGACGGAATCGAAGGCTTTCTCATAGTCCACATACGCCAGACATAGTGGCAAATTGTACTCCTCGGACTTCTGTACAATTTGCCGAAGGGTATGTATGTGGTCTATGGTGCTAAAGCCTTTTCGGAAACCGGCTTGTTCGGGAGGCTGGAAGTCGTCAAGTCTGCGCGCGAGACGATTCGTAATGACTCTCGAAAACAGCACGTAGACGCGGCTCAGAAGGGAAATCGGTCTGTAGTTCTTCAAGAGAGCGTTGTCGCCTTTCTTGAAGGACAAGACCACCGCACTTCTGCTCCACGCCTCCGGTGTAATGCCACCATGGAGGACGGAATTAAAGAGCTTCTGAAGGACTTCAAGTACCGGTTTTCCACCCGCTTTCAGAAGCTCCGCTGTAATTCCATCCTGGCCTGGGGCCTTGCCGTTTTTAAGGTGCTGGAGAGCCATTCTAATCTCGCTCAGACTGACGTCCGGGATATCATCGGAATAATGTCGGATAAGACTCGCTCTTGGATCGTTACTCACACTTGCGTGTGGCTCCAACGATGACGTGTACAGCTGCCCATAGAACCTCTCAATCTCACTCAAAATCTCAGGTGCCCCGGAAACGATGCTGCCACATTCGGTCTTCAGCTTTGACAGTTGGCTCTTTCTGGCAGACAGATCTCTGGCAAAGACTTTGGAGCCTTGGTTCCGCTCGATCGCTTCTTCAATACGAGCTGTATTGAAGTTGCGTAAGTCCCGCCGCATGCATTTGGAGATCTGTCTGTTCAGTTGCCTGTATGCTGTCAAATCTGTTGAAGAATGTAGCTTCATCTCCCGTCTAACAGCCATGAGATTAAGAGTGTGATCGGAGAGTTTTTGTGTTCTTCTGCGGCGGGTCTTGCAGAACTTAGCTCCGACCGCATGGACAGTTTCCACGAGCTTGTCATTCAAATCGTCCACTTCATTGCAGTCTTCTAGGCACTGAAAACGGTTTTGCAACTCGAGCTGAAAGGTTTCGGGACTCTGGATTAGAGCACGAGGGGGACGGAGCGTTGACTTCATTAGACGAGACCTCTCCAACTTAACGTTTAGGTTCAGTGTGCCTCTAACCATTCGGTGATCGCTGCCGGTTTTCACCCTCGCGATCATTGAGACATCACTGAACAGTTGTCGTCTGGTCGTCATAATGAAGTCAATCTCATTTTTTGTCGAACCGTCGGGGCTCGACCAGGTCCACTTCCTGTGGGGCCGCTTCTGGAAGAAAGAGTTCATCATAAAGAGTCCCTCTTTCTCCATGAAGTCGGCCAACTGCTGGCCCCTTGGGTTCCGTTGCCCTATTCCAAATTTCCCCACTTTCAGCTCACCGTTCTCTCTTGTGCCTAGTTTTGCATTGAAGTCTCCCATTAACACCGTATATTGGGTTTTGGAGGAATGCATGGCTCTAGAGATATCCTCATACATTTCCTCCACCTCCTGATCGGGGTGTGCCGAGGTTGGTGCGTAAACCTGTATGACCTTCAGCGAATACCGTTTGGTGATTCTGAGTATAAGGTACGCAACCCTCGTCGACACACTCTCAATCTTTACAACGTTGTTAACGAGAGACTTGTGGACGATAAATCCGACACCTCCTTGGGACAGATGGTCGCCCTCCCGGTGATAGAGCAAGTTGCCGGATTCGAGGATTACCGTGTCCTCCCCCTCTCTTCGGACTTCGGATAATCCTATAATATGCCAGCGTAACTTGTCTATCTCTTCTTCCAGCTCCACAATCTTCTCGTCAGTCCTCAGGGTGCGTGCGTTGTATGTTGCCAGGTCGAGTCGTTGTAGGTGGCAACCGAACCTCCACCGGAGATTCTTAGCACCCCCTGCCCCGCCGTTACCATGGTCGCCACCGTAGCCAGGAATAGCGGGGCCGCCGGGGACTGGGGGCCGTCTCTTCGTAACTTTCATTATGGGGGGTATATTGCCATAGTTGCCACGCTTGGCGAGCGGGTTGGCAACCGCAGTTTTTTATTGTATTTTGTCGTTACCAGGAAGATGCTGCTGCCCATCTCCTGCCTGTTTCCCTTTGTCGCCTTTTACGACACCCACGGGAAGATATGGGGTAGTGGATATTCTTAACCGCCACTACACGGCACGTTGTACGTAATTGATTGCATTCATTTGCCTACACGTAGTGTAGTGTTCCCTGTTCCCGTTACTGTGCATGCAGGTTTTGGCGTCTTTAAT